ACAGGGACAGCAAATCATTTTGAGGGGTCATGAGATGATTCATTGCAGAGGACAATAGAAAAAAAAGTAAGCTCTGCTACACAAATCTGTTTTCACTTTTAGGACTTTTTTACTTTAATCTTTGATTTTTACTGGGATAATGGCTTATTTGAACATGTGTTGAAATGAAACCATGTGAGAAGTTTAGAGGGAAAAATCGCTTTTTGTTGGAGCTGAATAACTCATAGCCATTTGTAATGTGAGTGCAACTACACACTGCTTATTGTAGGACATCAGATGCCAAAAAAGATGGAAACCGCTAGAGTTGTAGTTTTAAAATGTTTTATCCATTTTGTTATTATCATAGAAGGAACTGAAGCTGTCAAAGACATGTAGTAGAGTACCAGCACAGAGCAGCATGTAGTGGAAACACTTAAGTAAGGTACAAGTATCCCCAAAATCGTCGTTAGGTACGGTACTTGAGTAAAAGGTAATTAATTACTCTCCACCATTGGATAAATCCACTTTTTTTCCCATTTTTTGACCAGTTTTCTGACCCTTAATGTTGGCACTTCATTAAACTTCAGCTAGTGGTGGTCAGGGTAGAGTCGTAGATGGAAAGCTGACATGCCACTCGGATCATATGCAACACTCACATTCATATTTACCACATCTTAAGTTTGGAAAAAACGATTTAGGATGACTAAGGCAGAAAATAACTAATTTAATTTCATATGTTGTTTCATTACAAACTAGTAAGTTACTTGGTCACAGAATCCATGTTGGGACACGTTGGATACATTGTGAGCCTGTTAAAGGCTAAAATTACATCCCAGCACAACATCAGACATCTGGCAAATTACATTTTATAACTACCAAGTAGTCCTCAGCCTAACATGTGCGACCTTGATTACTCTATAGAAGGCTGTGCTAACCTTGTTCCCTCCTTGTTCTGCTTCTGACTTTTTCCTTCTTCTGTTATCTCTTTCTCTTTGCTGCGTGTTCTCTTGCTCTCCACATAATCTGTGGCTGTGCCTTTCTCATATATGTCTCAACCTCACCTCTTTTCTTCCCTTCCATAATATGCTCTATAATATACTTTTACTCTTTTGTGCTCTTCCTCTTTGTCTCTAAAACCGTCTCCTCCATCCGTGTGCCTTCCTTATGCACTCTGCTGTCTCACTAACCCCCCTGTTCGTTCTCTCTCCTAGCCAGCAGATTTGGATGCCTGGGTAAGCAACACTACCATTGCTAGTGCCTCCTTTTTTTTTTTTTTTTTAAACTTTTTCTTGCTCTTCCTTTCTCTCCCTCACTCTCTCTCTTCTCTATTCAAATGTCATGTTTTCATTGTGCATTAAAGCGAGGCTGTGAGTGTGCTGCCGCCACCATTCCACACACCAACACTTTGGGAGGTATTCAGCTAGAAAATTACACATCATCTGTGCTGCTGGCAGAGGTGATTTTACACACAGACACACATACACACACATCCCTTAAGCATCAAACAGCCGCTGTAGAAAGGAAGAAAAAAAAGCGCAGTGAGCACAGTGCAGGGATTTGCAGATGTGCTGTTTGGGGGGGTGCATGTGTCAGTTAAATTCGGATGAGATTAGATTGGATTACAATAAATGTAATGTCAATCAGTGGGAGTGTGTGTGTCTGCACGCTTGCATCCAGCATATCAGCAAAGAGCACAAAGATCAGTAGATCAGTCAAGGAAGACATTGTTGTTCCATCTGATCTATATCACTCTCACTAATGCACAATTTGTTTACTGTAATCAGTCATCATTACACCATGACAGGATGCGAGTGTGTGTTTGTGTGCATGCATAGTATGTGTTTTTATAATACACACTGTGTATTTCAATACTACATGAGTCCAGGCCCTGTTTCTGCCTTTTTGCTGCTTCGCTCGCAGCCAGTTTCATTGTGTTAACGCACCGTATCATGTTCATGCTGCTGTTGCACCACTTTGCTCATTACACGTATTGGTTAGTAATAATGTGTGTTCTTTAGTTCCCTTCGCAAGCAGCAATTGACAGTCATTTCAAAATGCAGGCACACACATGTCAACCTTTGCAATCTGCATGTGACACATGTGAAACGTGTAAAAGCCTGAAGGAATTCAATCATCCTGTGCATACTATATAACTATCTTTCTTAAGGTGATGCACTTTTCCCATTACGTGCAATGCAGATTGTGCAGATGCTGACGTTCTTCTTTGAAATACTGCATAATCTCCACAACATGACCAAACTTTTAACAGATGTTTTCCATGTAGTAGTTCAATTCAGGTCACTGAAGTTCAAGTTGAAATCACTTAGTTCTAATCAGTCAGTGTTAATGCAGTACATGGGCCATGTTCTGAAAATAAAATTGATAGCAGCTTTTCATGTGAACCTGACAGTACCTTTTATTTATTGCAAAACACATAATACAGGAATGTTTTTTTGTTCTGGGAGAAAATTTCTCATCGTTCAGTCGATTCAATTCAACTCCGTTTATCCATCCCATCCATTGTCTGTACACTGCTTTATCCTCTGTAGGGTTGTGGGTGAAGGCAGGGACACCCTGGACAGGTCGCTAGTCTATCACAGGGCTACACTTAGAGACAGACAACCAAGCACACTCACATTCACAATTTAGAGTCACAAATTGACCTCAACATATTTTGGGACTATGGGAGGAAGCCGGAGAACCCGGAGAGAACCCACACAGGCACAAACACAGAAAGAAGCAAACCCAGGACCTTCTAGCTGTGTGAGGCGACGGTACTAACCACCTCCCTACTGTGCCGCTCTCAATTCAATTCATTTCCATTTACTTTTGTTTTTAATGTTGTGAATGGATGATCTAAAATAAGCTGAATTAGTAATTCACTGTGACACTGAGCTCATGGCACAGTGAAGAATCACTGTCCAGTTGTGTGCTTGTCAGCCACCTACACTAATGTATTGACGGTCAGCTGCCCCATGCCTTGACAGCGCTTCCTTTGGTTTATGCTCATCTCTGTCTCTTTCTGTCATTTGCTTTTCACCTGTTCATTATTCTTCTTCTTTCTGATGTTATTTTAATTCATATTTATCATAAAGGAATTCTACTTTTGAAATTCTGAAATGATATTGACACACTGTTATGTCTCATTACTGTAAAAAAGAAAAAAAAAAAGGTGTTTCCATCCCAAAAGTTTCATAACATCTTGTAAAATCTTTGTCTTAAAGCAAATCTTTTATTTTAAAACCCCAATGCATGTACATGTCTGATTTCAAGCTGAACTGGCTACTTGTTTTCACAGCTTATCTTTTTGACATCTGCTTCCTGTCTTCCTCTGCTTGCATGCTGCTACGCCATAGCCCAAACTATGGGTCTTCCTACAGCCAATCCGCCATCTTGCTGCCTGTCAAAGCTTGGCTCAGCGGCTTATTAAAGCCTTTCACCTCATCCTAACGCCAGCGACGCCATGTCAGCCTCTGCCACAGCTGTGCCAGTCTCAATCCACCCGAGTAGTTTTGTAAGTTTCGTTGCATTACGTGGACCCACCACCGTTCTGTTGTATGTGAATTTGTTGTGTAGATGTGATGCGTCAACCATTGTATATTTCTGATATCATGTTGTACTCATAGAGTGGATGGATGAGGAAACACATAAGCTCCTGGAAAAATACAGCTTTGAAAAAGCTGCAATTTTATGCTACAACCACACACTTGGGGAGGGTATAATCATATTTACCATGGTCTCCAAAATGTCAGTGGTGGGAATCTGTTGTGAAGGAAACTTTTTTTATATTTAGTTTGCTTGCTGATGGTGAAAATATTTGTCTGATGCTGTAGCTTAGCTATCTTGGTAGAAATGTGGAAGTTGTAATTTCCATCAGTGGCAGTTCATTAGCAGATACAGTAGCTCAGATGTATGCTCACATTATGATTATACAGTAGTTACAGTTCAAGTAGCTGCTGTGGGAAGCACAAGGATCGTCTGAAATGTACAATCATTAAGTACCTCTAAATATAATACTGTAGTAATACGATCAAGTTGTCATTTCTAGGTAGTCATGTATAGGGATTTGATGTGGTAATTTGTTTATTTTGTTAATATGTTATTTAGAAGATGTGCATGCACTGTTAGGGATTAATATGTCAAAATTTAAAATAACACAAACTCCAACTCAAAAATAATTTTCTTTATTTTTTCTTTCCACATGTTTAATTAAAAGAAATTGTATACTGTTTATCCTTCAGACTCTATAGACTACTACCTGTGATTTGTAACTAATCTACTGGTACAGAGAGGTGGCTGCATTAGAGCCTAACGACTGCATATTTAAATTTCATCCATCCATTATCTATACACCGCTTAATCCTCACTAGGGTCGCGAGGGGGCTGGAGTCTATCCCAGCTGACTTAGGGCGAAGGCAGGGGACACCCTGGACAGGTCGCCAGTCTATCACAGGGCTAATTTAATTTAATATATTTAAATTCATTTGTTTTATTGGGAACCGCTCTGATTGTGGTTGCTGTTGTGCTTGAAACTGAGGTAGAGTTGATTGATAGATACGACTCTGATAGATGCTATTATAGATTCACTATACTCTAGTCTTTTATAACTGTACATCATAGGTGAGATGTGTATTCCAAGTTGTCTTATGGGCTACATCTTTCTGTTTAAATGACACCAGTGGTTTTTGTCAGTGAAAGCACCATGTTGCCTTGTTTTTTGACCACTCACCAGTAGCTGCTATCCCATGCTCCTAAGCGAAGGAAGCCAGTTACCTTAAGCATTAATTCATTCATTTCTAAAGTTTCAATTTAAAACTGTTACATGAAATTTTATTGTTTCGGTACCAGATTTTTTTTCCTTGTGCTTTTCGGCACAGTCAGGATTGACATGCGTCAATGTAAACAATATCTACCACAGCTGTTCTTTATATTCTACTGCCCTTTTTTTTTTTTTTTTAATTCAAAAATGCAGTGTTTTTATTAGTTGTGTTCTTTGTTGTCTCCATCTTTCTCTTGCTCAGGCAAAACAACTGGAGAGAAAAGAAAAGGAGCTGGCGAGCATATCCAGTTTCTATAAAGAGCAATTAGAAACACTGGAGAAAAAGGTAAGGGCAATTTTCCCATATTATGAACATGTATATCATTATAAGAAAATCAGCAAAACTCATCTGAAACTCCTTCCCTTTAAGCATATTTCGCCAAATTCAGTTCGGTAGTTGCGCCGTATTAAATGCTGTTTCTTGCGTATCGTTTGCTAAATTGAACGTCCACATTTTTTGGAGCGCTGCCATGATCTTATGTAAAGCAGTGAGAATATAAATCTTTATTCATCATTTCTTTCTGGGAAGATTTTTATCTGGGTGTTTAGTGAGCAAGAAACTGGGATTTAAAATTTTTGACATGTTTAACAGGAGACCTCAGTAATGAGATAAAACCCTCCTGTAGGCTTTCACCGAAAGGATGTCCTCACACATTTGGAATATCAAAACAAATCTTAAACTGACATATTACTCACTCTCCTTGGAGATTAAAATCTTGTTGAAATACTTTCTATCTTCTCTATCTTGGAAATGTCAAGCCCACATACCGGTGTCAAAATGTAAATGAATTGAAAGTTTCAGCAGACAGATGAGAGTCACGACTTGCTGTTGATGGACCAGCACTCAAGAGAGAGTTTCTCAGACAGATTCAGTTGCCTAATAAAATGTACTGTGCTTTTCTCATCACTATGTCCTTTTTTCCAACAACCCTGTTGTCTTTTTTCAAAATAGAAAAAAATAAAAGTGGCTTGTTGTGTGCTTTTAAGAAATTATGTCCTGTGTTCCCTCAACCTGAGCGCTAATGCGTCGTTGATATTGTGCACGCTGTAAAAGCCATAAGCACAGCGGTTTGATACACAGTAAACTTGGGCAGATTTGTTAAAAGACTTTGTGATGAGCATGTTTGACAGCAGGTATGATTTTAGGGCAGGAAAATATCAGCTTTATGCTCTTAGTGATTTGCAGATCCTGAAAGACACGACAAGAAGCAGGAGAGTTAAATTGCAGAGTGCAAACGTAATAAAGAAAGGAAGGAAACAAACTAGATAACACAGATGACAAGCATACTGAAAGAATATGAACAAAGATGGTAAGATGTTGAGGAAAGAGGGCACAGATATTTTTCTTTTGTTAAAGATACATTGACATTAACTGACAACAGAATATATAATAAAGCCATGAAAAGGGAACAGGTATGCATATTTACACTTTGGCCCAGCCTCTGTTTCTCTCCTCAGACCCACAGCTCTCCCTCAGGTCTTCAGTAGGCACTCTTTGGGACTTGACTCCCATCCCTCCTCTCCCCTCCCCTCCATTTCTCCCTCCCCGCGGCAAGGCCCATCAGGCAGACGGGGGACCTTATCTAGTCCCTGGCACTCGCCTCCTTTAGGCCTCTGAGAAAACCTTTTACATAGCCAAGTTAAATGGAAGGGCTCCTGCACGCCGCGCAGCAAGCAGCACATGCTGCAATGCTTGACGGAAGAGACTGATTGGCAGAAGAGTGCAGGATGCTCTATCTTTCTCCGCTTACTGCAGTCCTTTTTTCTATCTTTTTTTTTTTTTTTTTTTTCACCCCTCACTTGCTTGCAGCTGACCTGCATGTGGATGAGGCAGTGAGAAAGAGGGGGACTGAGAGGGAGAGATAAAGAGGCTATATGGACTGTGCATTAAACAGACCGTCTATCCTCAGCCAGCGTCCATCTCCTTCCTTCTCTTCCTTCATTTTCCAGTCTAGCACTGCATTCATCCAGCCCTCCTTTCATGCCCCCTCTCCATTTCCCTGCCTATCTTCATTCCTTTCACTCTCTCATACCTGTTGCAGATTCCAGTTGGGCTGAAATAAATGGCCACTTAAAAGTCGAATTGTGACTCACCCAGGTCTTATACATAAACACAAGACACAAGCTGAAATGGTAATATGTCTAAATTATGATTCAGTCGAGTCTTTAGGAAAGCATTCCATGGTTTAGCACTGACAGATTGTCGAGGCCTGCTCCAGCATCAGTATTAAATTCTGTTAGCTGCCTGCAAAGCAGAGATTTTAAAGTATTGAATGTCATTGTTTGACTATCAGTCCTTTTCTTGTCTGCTGTTGATAATCTCAGAGGCTGGAGCTTTTCCATACAACAGTATTGATTTTTCTGGAGTCAAAACACATGCACAAGCAGACAGGCATGCACATGCAATTTTACTGTTTGGGTGTCTCGATGATCTGAGCCAAATATTTAAGCCAAAGGTAAGAACAGGTAGATTAGAAGGAGAATCCACTGGTAATTGGTGTGTGATCTTCCCTTGAATCAACATTTTACTTTGGCTTAGCGGCAGCCTTTTCTAATAAGCTAATAACTGTGTATGCAAGTGTGTGTGTGAATTTATGTGTGTGCTTGTGTGTATGTCTGTGGTTGATTACTTGTGTAAAAAAACACATACAAACACACTCTCGTGTCCAGTTTGCCGAAGGGATGAATGATGATAACAGACTATTATGTTTGTCCAAAGGCTGTGGATGCAGTCTGAGTCCACGACTGACACAAATGTGAAATGTGAAAAACGCCTTGTGTGTGTATGTTTGTGTGTGTATGCATGCTGTCATTTCAGAAGTAATTGTCATAGAGTGGCAAATCCACTGCACAACTTTGAAATTTCCACTCTTCCACGCACATACACATATATAGCACATGTACACATACAAAAATACACATAAAGACTGCAACAGCACCTATACCTCTAATTCTCCTCTTTCCCAATCCTCTCCTCTCTGCCTCTCATTTATTTTTGGATGCCTCCCTAATCTCCCCGCAGTGTACAGGTGGAGTATATCTGTCTTCCTGCAACATACCCTATGACTCTGTAAACAAGTCTCAGTTTAAAATTCACCTCTTTTAATCCCCTCTTCCCCCCCCTTTGTTGACTGCTCCTTCTGGAAAAAAAAAAAAATTAATCCGCCTTCGTCCAAGCGTGGAGCGTGAAACAACTCCTCCCCCAAAATCCTGACATCAACCCATCTCAGTCCGCAGCTCCTGGAGGGTGTTCAGACAAGTGCGCACGCAAGGATCATCTGAACACAAGGATTCACCTACAAACATAGATTTAGTCACACACCTGCATGTATGCAAGCTTATACACAAGCGTGGCACACATGCGCCCACACTAATCCCCTCCATGAGCGTTTCCAACAACCCCAAAACCTCGCTTTCCCCCATTGAGGGTTATCATCCCCCCTTTCTGTCTCCCCGCATTGGGCTTTTGTCCCCACGGGTGGAAATGACTGGGAAGAGCTCAGAGTGTGTATGCCAGTGATAGTGCTACCACTTCTCTGGTGTTATGAGACCTGAGCTCGGGCTGTTGCTTGGGGCCTGTTCTGTCAGTAGACACAAAATAACATGTGGATACACATGAACAAAAAAACTGTCTGGATAAGCTCAACCTACTAGTCTAAACACTACTATTGCACTCCCATTCTACTCATTTCCCCCTTAATTCCTTGTTGTATTTGCATGACCAGAGACAAGCATTAACAGGTACCATTTTCTTCCCGTAACTTTTAAATACCTATTTTAAAAATGTCTTTGAACAGAGCGTTTCTTGACTGTGTGTTTGCATGTTTGTGTGGGCAAGGTGAAGGTGCTTTAGTCGGAAACATGAATTGGTCTCCATTCAGAAGAGGCTCCAAACTGTAGGTTTCCAGAGAATCTCACAAGAACACATGATTTACAGTGGTAAAATACAGTATTTGCAAACCAGTATTATCAAAAAATGTAAGCATTACAACTGTTGCGTAACATTAAATTATAAGAGATCTGGGATTTTCGTAGCCCTGGATAAGTATTTATCTCATTCCAAGTCTGAGCACTTTATCAGTCACTGCCTGACCCCTCCGAAGCCTTATAGACGGAGCTGGAAGGTACACCAATAGACCGTCTTAGCTGCAGACATTTTGACTTGTCACAATTGGAAAAGCACTGGTCTATTAATGGTGGCAGCATTCCACCTAGAGGAGATTCTGCTTTTGTGCATGCTGTTTCACTGTCGTGGCTTACAGGGACACTTAATGAAACTGAGCCATCATTAATTCCAACTGTGCTTCCCCTACTGTTACAAGTCAAAATGTCTGCGGCAAAAAAAAAGGTTCAGTCAGTAAGAAGTTCACTATACCTTTAAACCATCCACTTGCTGCTCCCCTTGCTGATGCCCTACTATGTCCTGCATAATCAGAGACACCCTTGGGTTTAAGCCCCTCTGCAGCTTCTTTTTTATCTTAGTTCGAACACTGGATGTCCCACAAGGCAACCACAGACTTTCAAGTTTCAACTCTCAGCTTTCCTCTGTTGAGCCTACCCACTAAGCCTTTGACCTGAGGCTAAAGGCTAAGTCACAAACATGTGGCTAGCTTCTTACCACATATTCCCAAGAAGCAAGCCAAAGTATTAACTAGCTCCCTTCCAACAAAAATGAGACTTGATGTCTCTTTAATGTCAGTAAAACTAGGGCTTGGTTTCTGAAGCTATCGAATAGAGACATTTATTAGACTAAGGAAACATCCAAGTAAAGGTTCCAAAGTCTGAAACTGTCTTTCTGTTTCAAAAGGTAGATGATGCTGAGGTGAAGTACACTTGACTTCTAATCTCTGGAGCTGCAGTTGTTACCCCCCTGTTGAAATGTGGTATTTAAGCCTCGTCCATACATTGGCAATGGGGAGACTTGGCGACAACAGAAGTCTAATCCTGAGTCCTGTCCTGGATAATCCAATATAACACAGCTAGGAAGCATAACTGGTGGGGATGAAGTCTTACACCTAGGGATGTTTGGCATTTCCACATGTGAATTACTGTGACTGCCAAAACGGAACACAAACTCAGATAGGACAGGAAAGGTAAACTGTAGTTGGACACAATTATTAGCTTCTGGTCTAATGTACATTGCCGATAGATGTCTGAATCACTGTCCACATTTCTGTCAAGATTTTTATCGATTCATAAGGTGTTGTGGAAATTGTCTCATTCCCTGGTTGGAAAAGCAAACAAGTCAGTAGGACATCTGTGGGCAGATTTAAAATAGTCCTCAGATTTACTGTTATACATCGATAGCAGTGAGGGACTCATAGTGGACAGTTAGAGACAAAAGGCTAAATTTTGATGCGGCAGAACCAGAGAAACAATCTTTTTTTTAGTCATCAAAAACCTGGCGCCTATTTTACCCACAATTCATCTTGACCACTTCATCACAGTAACATTGTCTGGGTGGATACTTTAGACACTACTAATTTGAAATACCCTCCTTCACACTACCCTTATGACTTCAATTTTACTGTCTTTTCTTTAAAGAACCGGAGAGAAAATGGTAGAGGGGCAGATTATTACATTGTAGGGAATACTTGCAGATAGGATTAAGGAAAAGATGCCTATGACATTACTTGAGTCTTCTCCAGCGCCAGACATTCAGATCAGGAATAGCATGTCTGCAGATCAGCTTGAAATAATGAGATATGAAAATGACTAGGGGGCACTGGAGGAGTAGAGGGCTCGGGATTGTGGGGGAGGTTTGTGTTTGATCCCATCTCTTCTCTGCTCAGTCACTTCAATTATCTTCCTCTCCTATCACCCCATCTATTGGGAATATAGGGAATAATTAAGTAAAAGCTTGAGCGCTGCGGTTATTGGTTTAAAATGGTGATTACTGCACTGTGAATGTGTATGAGAGGGTGGCGAGAGAGATTTGCTTTGTGTTTGGGGTATTCTAGACAAACTGTATTTCATGTGTTGTGACACAAGGCCTGCAAGGTGATCATTCATCTCGCTGAGCTGCTGATTTCAAATATACTTTTTGTACTGTGGCTGGAAATCTGCATCCCTTATACATTTTTCTAAAACTATTTATGCTCTTGGCTAGTACCTCGTCAGTACATCACATTGCGAGCAGCTCAGACCACCATGCAGTGTAGTTAACACTGTGACCACTGATTATTCCGGTAAAGGTGTGCTGTATATGACCTTGCCCTCTAGGCACAAGCTCCATCTGTGTTGTAATTGCTATTTAAATGCCACACTTTCTCGCATGAAATAAAACATTATGGAGTACCAACAGACCATCAACATTCAGATTTGTAAGCAGGCTGTAAAATTCAAAGGTCACTAATTTAACGAATGTGACATTTCCTTTGGTGCTTTATGCATTTTGCTTATCGTTGCTGGCTTATTAGAGCTTGTATTAAATCTAAAAAAGTATCTGTAATTGTTGTAAGATTATGTAGATATGCATGTTGTTAAGTTCTAATTCATGTGACTTGATGACTTTTACAGAGTGTCTACTGGGTTTTTTTATATTTTGTGATCTAACGTTGAATTATATTAACTCCTGAGCAGCACACTTCAAACTCAAAATATCAAGAAGTAGAGCGTCTGCAGAGTTGTAAAATACTCCTGAATTGATTCTCACAAATTCTTTCTCTCTCTATCTCTTTGCCTGCAGAACTTTGACAACTACAAGGAAACGGCTGAACAGTACAACAAGGCAGCTACTCAAGCTGAGGCTCACATCCGGTAAGTACTGTGAATTTGCTTTGCAACACAGTATGTGTGGAAATGATACTCTAGGATACTAACTTTTGTTACTCCCTTATTTCTTTGAGTCCATCTTTGGCTTCGCAGTTTACTGCATACACCTGTAAACAATCTATTAGTTGAGATTTACTGTACAAACCTAAATGTAAGACAGTCACTGTATGCCACATTAGAAACAAACTCTCAGCACAGTATAACACAGAGAAAAATCTGTCCAATAGTTGTCAGAAAGTAGATGTGGTCAGAGACCAGAGTGTGAAGGCTATTTGCAACACTAGTAAGCTGTTAATGTGAACACTACACCTCCTGTAGCTGCTCACAGTTACACCTGTTTTCTGCAGATAGTGGTGGGACAAGCTGATAATTTACAATTATCACCTTTCATTTCATGTAGAACAGTACTTTCACAAAACTCTCAAATTAAATGTCAATCGTCACTGTTTTCCTCTCCAGACAAACATGTTTCACAGAGTGATGAACTATGTAAACATTTTGGAAGTTAGTATTTGGCCCTACTGAAACTCATTGTAACTATTCCAAACAAGGTGAATCAAACTTTATAGTTTTTATCGTGTAACTTTGTTGTAGGATCCATATTGTAACAAAAAATATCTGGATAATGCTAGAAAAATGATTGTAATAGTACTATGGTGTATAGATTCACTGCTGTTAGGTGACCTCTCTAGTACAAGTAAAGTATATTTGACTCATCTTCTTTTGACAATTTAACATGTTTGCCTTGTTTTTTGCATTAATTATGTGAAAGTTACCCTAGATTTGACCTGACAGATGAACATATCTCATTTTGCCTAGTTCAGCTTCTCTTGTCACTGGGTAAGCTCTCTGTTGCTTTATTCTCTTCCATTTTTTTTATAGTGTTGTGAAAAAAAAAATCAACCCCCTCCTGATTTCATCTTGTGTGTATCTCCTACTAAACAGTTTTGTCCTATTAAACAAATAAAACCTGAGTAAACACAAAATCACAATCTAAATGATAATTGTATGTATTGAAGCAAAATCGTATTTAATACCAACTGGGACTCTGTGAAAAATAATTCACCCCCAAAGGTATTTAGAAGGGATATCCAGAAGTTTTTTTGGCTCGCAATGGCTCCGATGCGAGTCATTTATAATTTAGTATCTGCCAATGCTCGATACCATTTTCCTAGATAATGCACTCTTCAAATATTGCAAAATATCTACAGGGGTTTAGCCAGTAAAGGGGCACCATGACAAAGTCCTCTGTAATGCCTAATGACCTCCAGTCAGCATCGTGTATTAAATCAAGTTGGGATCAAGTAGGATTGCACATCATGTTTCTGTGGCTTGAAACTGCAATATCAGCACAGGACACATGCCCAAAGTATTCAAGTTATATAATTTGATATATATTAATTGTTTATTGGTTGATCAAGTTGCAGTATTTATGACACCTGTGTAACAGTGGTCATAAACAAAGGATCGGTCTTATGTTCATGGAGATACATTCAATTTTAAAATTGCCTCAGTCGGCCTCAATCACAATCACACCTAAGATTGGTTACAGGACGTCCCCAGTACTCAGTTAAAAGAACTACCTGAATAATTTGTTTCCACTGGAATAGACACACCAAGGCGGGCTCACAACCAGCAAATGAAATACATTCCAGGTAAAATGAGGAAGAAGGTGACTGAAATTGATTAGTCTGGGAATGACTACAAATTTGTTTTTGAGGCTCTGTGTCAAATGCACTGTGAGAGACATTATCTACAAGGAGGAGAGTCTGAACACGAGGGAACCTACCCTGAAGTGGCCGACCTTCTAAAATTCCTCCAAGAGCTTGGTGAAAACTCATCCAGGAATTACAAAAGATCCACGGAAAGCATCCAAGGAACAGGCCTCTCTCCTCTGAATAAACATCAGAGCACCACCTTCTGAAAGACAAGGGTCATAACAGAACAGATGGGAAAGCTGCAAAGTAAAAACCACAGCTAACCCAGTAAAACATGAAGGCTTATCAGAATTTTGCCACAACATCCTACCTTGATGACCCTCGAACCTTTGAAGTGCATGTTAATGATGTTGTACTTGAAGCATTTGGAAGACAGAGGTCCAATTACACATGGTCTAATACCAAATTTCCACAAAAACAACATTATACTTACATTAAAACATGGCACTGGCCATATCATATGAGGACACTTTGCTGCTTCAGGGGCAGGGCAACTTGCCATAACTGAGAGAAATATCAATTCTGCTCATTTGACAGAAAATCCTGAAGGCGCATGTCAGGTCAGTCTCTGAGTTGAAGCTCAAGTGCATCTAGGTTATGCAACAAGACAGTGACCCCAAGCATAAGAGTAAGTCCACCTCTGGATGACTCAAAAGGATTAAAATAAATGTTTTGAAGTGACTGGTCCTGAAAACAACAGTTCATGCTCAGAAACTCTGTATCACCAAACCAGTTCTACAAAAAAACATGGGCCAAAATTCTACCACAGAAATGTCAGAGACTGATCTCAGATGATCAGAAGATTTCGATCGTTGCTGCTAAAGCTGGTAAAACAAGCTATTTAGAGGGGACGACGATTACTTTTTCACAATGGTGTTTTTAGATTTTGGTGAACCTATTTGCACCGATAGTAAAGTTATCATTGAAAACATGTATATTGTGTCTGTTCAGGTTGCCTTTGTTATATGTTAGATTTAGTTTCAAGATCTGAAAGGGTGAAAAAAAAATCAAGAAAAAAGAAATCTGTTGTGGGTCAGATATGCAACTTTTTCATGCAAAGAGAAAGGGAAATGAGAAATTGTTTTTTGTGCTCCATGTTTTTTTTTTTTATTTGTTCATGTGGTTTATTGGGACTTACTATTCTGTCAAGTGTCTATTATTGTTTCTACATTAACATCCTCCCCATGTTTTTTGTATAGTGATACACCTCAATATTCACAGTGGTCTTGTTGTTATTACAAGCTTAGCAGTCACTGGGAATAAATTATCAGTGACTTGGCATCACAGCTTACTCCTAGAAACACTGTGACTTTGCAAGAAGCAGAGGTTTTGCTCTGGTATAGCAGAGTTCAGACCTCTCCTATTATCAAAAAGGATGACAGTATTAATAATCCCTGACCTGCAACCACACTGATGCTGCCAGAGTGTTGCTTTGTCGGTCTGTGCTCCTTTGTAACAGTCATTCTCACCCTTTTTTGCTATATAGTCAGATAATCATTGGTTTTCCTTTTTTTTCACATATCTGGCAATGATTATCGTGATATTTTATGGTTTTTCCATCAACACATGCTTTTTTATGCTCGCTTCAATGTCTAACCGTTTACCATTTCACTTAAGTTGAAATTAAACATGGCGAAAGCCTGCTGCCAGCAGTGTTAAATACAAATCTTGTTAGTTCCTCATGAAACACACCAAAGATTTAAAATGTTCTCCCTGCAGAACAGTAATAATGTAACACTCTGTTTAATATTGAATTCCAAGCTGCAGTTTTAATAACAATATTGATATAAATACATTATGATTGATGAAAATCATATTTTTTTCTTTTTGCTCCACTTTGCTTGCAGTGTGTACTTTATAGACAAATATTAAACAAGTTGTTGATTAGTCATTAATGGGTTGGCTGATGATGTAGCACAGAACTTATTGTATTTGAATATATCATTTTAGACACTCACCATCACTGTCAGTTTACAATTTTGCTGTACCTTCAACATTTTACAACCTATCCAAGGATTTCCATAACATGCTCCCTTCCAACTATTGAAATTGTCACAGAAAGGAAAAATATAAAACACTACAATCCTGAAAGTAAATGTATGATTCTTCTTCTTCTTATTACTGTTATTATTGTGAAGTCAGTAGTATAGCGTAGAAGTACACAATATAGTACACTCCAAGAAACAGCAGGAGGAAAAAGTAGGTGCTTGGGGTTTTTTTTTTGTTTTTGTTTTTTTTTTGTCAGCTTTGTACTGTATGATGGGCAGTGACCTCATCCACAACACTGCCATCTTCACGCACCTGGCCCATTGAATTCAACAGCGTACAATTCAAGTCCAAAATCTTGCCCAAATGATTACATTTGCAAAGATTTGCCATTGTCCACAGCTGCATGGGAGAGGTCAGAAGATCACTTCAGCACAAGTTTGCTGAAGGAATAGCATTCAGCCCCGCCACAATATGTTGCTATTATTTTTTTTTTCAGCGCTCACACAAACTTTCACTCCTTTTCCCTCTTTCTATCTCTGCCACACATACAGGCCCATTTTGTATTCAGGCAGCCATGCGCTCGTCATGTTCTGTCAGCATTTGGGCAGTGTTTCATTGTGCCGTGGTCACGCTGTCATTTCACACTACACTGACCACCCAGTAATTATTCTATTTACCCACTGCTGAAAAGGAGGGGGGCAGCAGTGGGGGGTACAAGTTATGTAGCTACAATACGTCTTTTTCTTCTGTCTTTGTATCCATCTCTGTCTCCAGTTCAGCATCTCAATCTCTGCCTTATTGTCTCATTTTCCTAATTCTAAAATCATTTTTCAGTCTCACTTGTTATTGCTCCGCACATTGTTGTAATGTTTCCTGCCTTTATTTTTTGCCCTCAACCTCTTTTTTTATTTTTGTTGTCCTGACACTGCTCCTCTGTTCTGTCTTCGTGTTCTTAGTAGGTGTCAGATAGTCAAGGAAATGGACTGAGCTTAATGTCAGGTGAAAAAAAAAAATCTCTGCACTCCCACTTGTAGTGTTTGGGTATTTTTGTTTCTCTGGGTGGTTTCGGTTGTTGCTGTTACACCTGACCTCGACATCTGCTCATAGGTAGATACGCATGCCAAAACATTACAGCCACAAGCCGCTTAATAGGCTTACATGACATGGAAATGATAAGCAATTAATAGGTAGTGCAAGAGTCTGGACTTAGACCTCCTTTAGTACTCCTGGGACTTTAGAGTAAATTGCTGAATATCGAAATGCAATACATACAGATAA